GAACGACACCGTCCAGGTTCTGAAGGCCAGTTCCTCCGGGTGGTTCTACGGCACCAGCGACGGCAAAATGGGCGCGTTCCCCGGGGCTTGTCTGGACATCACCAACCGTAGCTACTGTAACGGCACGGCCTGTCACAACGGGGAGGCCGCAGAAACATCGGAGCACGGCCGGGGGCAGGACAGACCTGACGGCCAGGAGCACGCTCCTCAACACCGCGGCTGCAGCAACAAAGAGAACATCGACACACACCACTCCAGCCCGGACACAGAGAAAGAATACTTCGTCATTCCACTACAGAGACAGTCGTCCGAAATGTCGGAGGAGAAGGCGTGTAACTGCCTGGAGTGCAGAGGAAGCGGCTGCTGCGACGAGGACAAACGGGAAGCAGCAAAACTGAGAGAGCGAAACCATGTGCCAGACTAACGGTCTACATCGCATGTAAATATCCTGCAGAATTAAATTCCTACGATATGTATGATAAAGGGAATATGGCTTTCTATTTTGTAATGTGAAAATCGTTGGACCATATCTGAAGGTCTACAGTGTAATGTGGTCAGGTCACGCGCAAGCACCTTACTTCAATGCATCTTAAAAATGTTGCTGCACTCGAAACTTTTGTAAACCAAAAAGTATCCCGGTGGAAAATAAACCATGCAGCACGCTTAATGCACAGTGTGCAGTCTTGGTGTTCAGAGATGTATCTATGATGGCCTAGAAACTATGTGTTGATAAGCTTGGTCACACTTGCTCCTGTGTAATTCAATTTACTGTGACCTTTCCACCCATTGGAAACAAAACAAAGAACGTCATATTGATCCTACCATGTCTGAAGCAAAATACTCAGTAGCTAAGCCCTTCGTCGTAACGAAAGCAATTGTTATTCATGAAATATCTTTAAGAACTTTCCTACCAAGTGAAAGCAACTTTACCGGGGACTATTAAAGTGTGGAAGACTTGAAACGACAGAGTACTTTCTTTTTATCTCACAGACAGAGTCTGTCGGTATTTCTGAAAAGCCGAGACATAAGTTGTGGCAATGAACTTGACATTCCCAGATCTGCAGTTATGGCGCCGATATGGCTCGCAGAAATGACTATATGACGTCATGAGGAAGTTATCATTCTTAACACAGACGGTGTTCACGACACTTTTCTGGGTATAGGTTATTAGCTGGGGCCTCTGGCTGTGCATAACGCTTTTGCGTTAGCTGGTAGAGCAATGCCAGGGCTCAAAATATATTTTCTGCATACCTGCGCCGGTGCAACATTCAAAATTACCTGCACCAGACAAATCTTACCTGCACCACCCAGAATTTAGGAAGTATGAATCACTTCAAGTGTCAAAAAAATCACTGGCATTATAGGTGATGAGTCAATACAGTTAGTATAAATCCACATACACCTGCATTTGTGTGTAAGCCCAGTGCAGGTTAGGTGCAGGAAAGTATCAGAAACACTTGCACATTAATTCTCAATTTTACCTACACTAAAGTGCATATCATCAGCATATATAGAGCATTTCGAGCCATGAATTCGGCTTCACTATATACGCTCTTAGCACTCCATACACGAGCGGAATGATGAAAAATTGCAGCTGTCACCCCGGAGTCTATCACACTGGGATGATGTAACACTGACGAGACCATTAGAGGCCCCCTGAGTGCCGCTGTGACGCAGCCGCATGAAAGAAATATGCCAATCGTATCTCATAGATCTGTCCAGATGCCAATATACGAGCTCCTCCGGAAACTGTACACCTGCCATTAGCGAAACCAAGGGAGCTCTTGGTTCTTTTATGGAAAATTGTGCTTGAAAGGAACCAAAGATATAACGTGACCACCCATGTACAAGGAAAGGCGCATTCTTACCACTCAAACTACACGCAAGGGCATATGTCATGGTTAATGCACTGTGAACACAAGAAACTAACATTCTACTCTACCCATACTCGTTATGCCCTGAAGTCATACTTTTAATCTAGATGTTTTTCATGTCATCTTTCCTCCGCTTCAAACGCTTGAGAGAGTAGAATGCATCCATTTTTCATTACCAGGACGCAAGGAGCCATTTCATAAGTCATTTCATGCAGTGACAAAGGTCGTCCTCTTATCTAGGAATATAAATCACTCAACTTGGGGCAACAGCCATGGTGGCTGGCTCCAATACTGCTGCTGGTCGTTTTGTATGCACTAGAATAGAATTACCAAATAAATGTTTGTGTTGCAGGAAGTTTAAATAAAGAACTTTCCAAGTTATGTGGGCCATATTTTTGCTGCATCTGTTCAAAGTTGACATTGTTAGACCATAGGTCGAAAGCTCTAGGTGAACTAGGAGAACTTTCCAAGTTATGTGGGCTACATTTATGCTGTATCTGTTTAAAGTCGAAATATTGTTGGACCATAGGTCGAAAGCTCTAGGTGGAAAAAATGATTTTTGTGTTGGAACAAAAGTTTTAACTTAAAACATGTAACTACCAACACAGATGAACCTTCATGATGTATCTATATTGGCTTCGTGTAATGTTTATAGAGCAATCCTTCACATGATGATGTATTTCAGCCTAGATGCATGTTTCATCATTCAGAGGATTTATATGCGATAATTGATAGATTTGGCTCGGATTATATAGATTCTTATTCTTTAGTCGATAAAGGTCAATGTCGACTTTTCAAAACAGATGTCTAAATCAATATCTCTCTACCGTTAGGTTATGTGAGACAATCCGCAGCTGAAACTCTCCATACTTTATATGGAGTATCAGGGGCGTACAGGGTCGCAACCTTTGACCCTGCTGAACAACAACAACAAACACCTACATGGGGAGGGGGGCGTCGTCTTATCGGCAAGTACAGTAATGTAAGCCCTAACATTAAAAGGGAGACAAGGACAGGGTTAGCTCTAACACTAGTCGTAAACTCACCTTTCTACGCCTCACCATGCAGAAAACGTCGCCAGAATAGTAGCCTGCCACTTGCAACAGTCAAAATTCGCGCTGCTAGAATATTGCGTCACATCTGACCCCTCGGTTACAGAGGTCACAGGTCTTGCACCTGATTACACAAATACGTCGCAATGTTTCCTTCCTTGAGTTCGTTTCATCTACCAATGTGTATTGTAATTAGCCATAAACTTACCTTTCTAGACTTAGGCTTGCCCAGACGATACTTTCGCGGCCAAGGCCAACGGATATTCAAACTTCCCACCGCTTGTCTCGTGTCTCATCTGACTCCTGTATTACAGAGGTCACGGGTCTTGGACCTGATTATCCAAATATGTCGAAACATCTACCACCAACGTGTACAGTAACTACGTAGCTATAAACACACCTTTAAAGACCACGAATTTCCACAATCTTGCTATTATCACGGCCAAGGTAGAAGCCTAAACCGACATTTAAAACTTCTTGCCTCCACAGAAAGTTATATCCCCGCTATGGATAATAACGTTATCGTTTACTAGCCCAGAGCCTGATCGTGTAACTCTGTCAAAGTTCTTTCCTGCTATTTTTTCATCTACCAAAATGTGATACGAAAAGTCTCTACCCGTGTAACTTTGTCAAACGTTCTTTGTTATTTGTTCTATCTACCGAAATGTGACGCGGAACGTCCTAGACCCTACTTCAATTGCATTATCATCTCTACGTTCAACGGCCATCAATGGGGAGTTGACATGATAAATAGTTTAGTAGATGTCTCTGAACCAAATCATTCCACCCCAGGTTCAAAGCTATTCATACAACATAACCTCTCAATACTATGTGTCGAAGACGTCCTTTCACTAGATCTTAAGTAATCTCCTAAGAATGGCTCCATTCCATAACCGCACACACTCAACAGGTCACCTTGCAGTGGGTAATAATAAAGAGGCGGGACCATCATCCGCTAAGATACAAGGGTTTCTCGTCTCCAGCAGAGCTTTGTGCGAGCTCGAGATGGACGTTTAAGATTCATGATGGGATGAAAAGTTGTGGAGGTCAGTGTACGGGCGCTATCTGAACATGCACAGATCTGCGCGCTATCGTCTTATCCTCGACCCGACGACAGAATTTGACGCACGGCTGCGAGGATGATACAAAATAAATGTTGGTACTCATTGACCCTGTCGTCCATGGAGATGAAGCAGTCCCGCTTACCGGCGGGAGGCGTTTGATTTGGAGTCGTGTTGGACAAGAGGTCGCCGCCACAGTGAGATTTATTCCCGCGATAAGGCAGGTGGTGGAAACAGGCGATTATTTAACGGGAGAAGGTACAGGAAAGGTCTTCCGCTGGGCAAGTAGTGTATGCATGTGCTCAGCGGACCGCGCGTGCGGTGACTGCTAATAAACCACCGCCCGTGATGACAGAATTTCATGATAGTCTTTGTGAAACACCTTGGATTACGTCTATGATTTGACGACTTGGTTTTGTTACTTTGTTATTATCTACTTTTGTTAGTTATATTTATTTGTTATGTCTCTCAGTGTGACTAATTTTTGTACCCATGTTATGTTATGCTATGCTATGTTATGTTATGTTGATTTATAGACTTGCTTGCAACCAATTACAATTACCATAAACATTCTGAATATACCTTTTCTTGAATCATTTTTATATCCTGAAAATCACTTTGCCTGGGGAATAAAACTAGTCTTCGATAAATTTCATGTCACAAAATGATATTCACAGTATTAAAGTATATAGCCTATAGCCAATTAGACACGGCAGCAATAATACAGATGACTTTTACTTTGTCTCTTTTCCCAAATTAACACATAACAAAACACTAACAAATCACTTCGCCTACAGGCACTACTGACATTTCAGCAACGTTCACACAACAAATACAGACACTAGGCAAGCTGTCTCTTGTTGCGGAAAGTGCATTTTTCGTTCCTATTCTGTAAGAATATATGATATACTCTGTTGTCGTGGGAGTAGGCTGATAACGTACAGAAATGATATGACGAAGTACACAAATGTATATGCCTCTCTTGAGAGTTACTGAGCTTTCAATCATTTGCAAATGCAGCAAGAAGACAGCAGTCGTCAACAAGACCTTACGGTCACCCCAAACTTTCTCTTAGGCGAGCTCGTTTCACATGGCGGTATTATTTACGAAGACAATCCAAAAGTCTTACCAAGAAACTAGATCGGTGGAGCGTTACAAACAAGACCGTGGTACAATAGTCGTACTCGCGTACATTTATGATGGTTGCACGATATATGGAATTGAATAATCTTTTGATGAAGATTGGACATCCAGGTAAACAATATTCAAAGACAAATCAAACTCTATTACTGGTAATTTATTCATTCGTAGAGTTTGATTTATCCAGTAGTATAGTTTGATTTGCCCTGAGAATTGAGTAATCGTTTGGTCCACAATTTTGCATCAAACGTTTTTGTACGAATGCTCTGCTACATTCCCCCTCCGCTTCCTTTGCCGTAGCTATCCAGTCCAGTCTTCAAGATTCGTCGTCAGCCGTTCTGTCACCAATACCCGTGTGCCGGGGGTGTGCCCTGCCGTCTTCGCCCGCCGATCTCCGCGATATCCGGACGACAAGTGACGCCTGGTGACCTTGCTTCTCCACGTACTTGGTTCGATCTTTCCTCCGGTTGG